GGTCCAATGACACACCCACCTTTGAGAGCCAATTACGTCAAGAATACACGCCTGTTTCAGACGATGTAAACAGATCTTGGAAGATAAGAGGTAGGGCAACCTTCCGTCAAAAAACAGCTTTCATAGCCGTGATATTCACGAAAGTATTGGCCCATGAGGACAGTCGTCAATAACATTGGACCAGTTTTGCTGGTCACAGTATATCTCGAAAAAATGTTCATCGGACACAAGGAATTGACATCTAAAAAAATCAGACAATTTTTAGTGGACACGATGAAACTCACCTATTACCAGAAAACTCTTCTATTCTCGACACTAGCAAGATGACAACATCCCAGAGACTGGATCAACGTCCTCAGTCGAATTGCTCTCGTGCTCAGGCTTAAATGTTTACACTATACAGGGTGTAGCAAAAGTCGGGAACCATAGGGAAATAACATGGGCATCATTTCCAGCCTAGAGTGTAAGAGACTCGAAAGAAGATTAGCGTTGATTCTGAAACTCTTTAGTTTTCTTAATCTCAAACTCTGGTTCGAGTGGCCCAGAGTTGTCATTCCGTCATTCGGTTAACTCGGATCACCATGTGTCATCACGGGTCGTGATAGGTTACCTCTACTCGCCATTGGTTACCATGGGTCAATCATATAACTCTGGGTCACTTATTTTGAGATTCAGGGAACTACGGAGTTTCAGAATCAACTCAGAACAGTTTGTGAGTTTCAAACAATCAAGGCTGGAAATGATCCCAATGCTATTTCCTCATGATTCCTTACTTTCATTACGTCCTGTAGAACGCGACAGTCCCCAGCCATCTCCAGTCCACGTGTTGGAGCTACGCGTGACACATGGATAACATCACGCGACACTCATCTGTTCAAGGTTTAAGGTTCGGGTCAGGGTGTCAGAAAAGTGCACTCGTCCATATGATGGACTCGATTCAAGCACACCTGTGACCCAAGAGAGTGCATCGCATCACCGGCAATATCTGATTGGAAAGAAAGTTCTCGGAATTTCTTGAATATCCAGTACAATTTTTTTCCAGAGCATGCTAGAATGTTCTGCGTGTGTTTATAAGTAGGTCGTGTCCTTCGGCATACAACCGTATATTATTACAGCCCTGGTGCTCTCCAGCCATGAACCAGCCCTACCCTCTTACTAAGGAGCAAGTTCGCCTGC